CTCACCACTATTATTCAGTAGCCCAGTGCAGGAATTCATGCACATTGAAAGGAAATTAATTAGAAGAAATATTTTAATATTGTTATCCGCCCTTTCTCTATAATAGAAATGTCAACCAAATTCACAATCGACAATGACAGATGGAAACATACACATGCGATTGGCTCCAGCAAGAGCTTTATATGTATCACGCCTGCACGAGTCAACTTAGCCTTTTATAAATATATAACAAACTTGCTTAATTAGACTTGCTTTCTGACTTAGCTAAACTTTTTCCAGCCCAGTGAAGCACCCAAACTTCTCTTTCAGGTAATTGTCATCAACACAGCAGTAAATATCAACACGAAGCAGATTATTATTGTACATCACACAGGGAGAACAAAGGGTAAAATATTTAACTGCAGCAGTGTTTGACTATATTCTGTTCAGTGAGAAAACCTGAAGTCATTTTCATGGTCCACCATTTCTTACTTCTTTTCAATTGGGTCAAGTTTCTAAGCTTTCTAAATCTCCGTTTTCCAGCTAATGAAAAGAAAAGAAGATTCCACCGAGTCTCCTCTCTACCTACTCCAGGACTTCTGTGAGGATCAAATGAGATGAGGCACATGAAAATACTTCACAGACATTTGGTTACAGAGTAAAGTGTTTCCACTATAAAGCAAGTCATGTTCCTGGGCTGAAGAAACTCCAAGGAGGCTAGTTAGTTGCTAGGAAGAAGAAGCTGGGCGTTGCTACGTGACGTCATTACCCAGACTGTTGGACACTTAGCATATTAGCCTTTTATATGTACAAATAGTACTGAGGTCCTAGCCACAGCAATCCAAAAAGATAAAGAAATAAAAGCTCTAGCCGGTTTGGCTCAGTGGATACAGCATCGGCCTAAATGATCCCGGGTTCGATTCAGGTCAAGGGCACATGTCTGGATTGCAGTATCGATCCCCAGTTGGGGGCATGCAGGAGGCAGCCGATCGATGGTTCTCTTTCATCGTTAATGTTTCTGTCTCTCCCTCTCCCTTCCTTTCTGAAATCAATGAGAATATATTTTAAAAAAAGAAAAGAGCCCTGACCGGTTTGGCTCGGTGGATAGAGTTTGGGCCTGCGGACTGAAGGGTCCTGGGTTCGATTCTGGTCAAGGGCATGTACCTTGGTTGTGGGCATATCTCCAGTGGGGGGTGTGCAGGAGGCAGCTGATCGAAGTTTCTCTCTCATCGATGTTTCTAACTATCCCTCTCCCTTCCTTTCTGTAAAAAATCAATAAAATACATTCAAAGAAAAAAGAAAAGAAATAAAAGGCATCCAAATTGGAAAGGAAGAAGTAAAACTGTCACAATTTGCAGATGACATGGTACTATATATAGAAAACCTAAAGATTCCACAAAAAAGTTAATCTATATATAAAAGCTTAAGCAACCATTATGACCAAATGACCAGAACAACTGGTCGACCAGTTGCTATGATGTGCACTGACCACCAGGGAGCATACGCTCAATGCAGGAGCTGCTCCCTGGTGGTCAGTGCGCTCCCACAGCCAACCTCCCACAGCATCTCCTCCCCGGCCAGCCAACCTCACGCGGTCCCTCACTGTGGCCGGCCCGGCCTTGATGGGCCGCAATCACTGGCCAGGCCTAGGGACCCCACCCATGCACAAATTCATGCACTGGGCCTCTAGTAAAATTAATAAAAGAATTCAATAAAGTAGCAGGATATAAAGTTCATATACAGATATCCATCACTTTCCTATACAATCAGACAAAAAAATTAAGCAACCAATCCCATTTACAACTGCATCAAAAATAAATAAATAAATAAAATGCCTAGGAATAAATGCCAAGGAGGTGAAAGACCTGTACTCTGAAAACTATAAGACATTGAAGAAAGAAATTGAAGACATACTCATGGATAGGAAGGATTAATATTGTTAAAATGACCACGCAGATTCAATGCAATTCCTATCAAAATACCAATGACATTCTCAGAACTAGAATCCTAAAATTTATATGGAATCACAAAAGACTATGACTAAGCCAACCATGAATGAGGAAGAAGAACAAAGTTGGAGGTATCACACTCCTTGATTTCAAACTATACTACAAAGCTGTAATAATCATAACAGTGCTGTGGTATTGGCACAAAAGCAGACACACAGATCAATGGAACGGAAGAGAGAGACTACAAAAAACCTTTGCTCACATGGTCAGGACACATACAAACATCAACCAGTGAATGCATAAATAAGTGGAACAACAAATCTCTCTTTCTCCCATCCTTTCTCTCTCTCTCTCTCAAATCAATAAATAAAAATTTTTTTAAAAAGAATTCATTTTAAAGACATCTCTATGCAAAGACCACCAGTTTGGGGTGAAGCCTGGAGGCCTGTGGGCCTCCAGCCCCTCACTGTACATCCCAAGGAAGCTCTGCCCCGGGTGTAAGAGCATCACCTCACTGTGCATAAACTTGACAAAGCCGCGTGGGCCTGTGAACACACAGGTCTCTGGGTCCCACTTTAGAGTAGTGTGTTCCAAAGAAAAAACACGGTTTGAGAAGCTTGGCCTTAATAATCCAACATGGTTCCTGCTCAGCCTCCTGCCCAATCCTCAGACACAGCCAGCTGCTGCCATCCAGAGCTTTCTGGACACCCTGTCACATGCACAGTTCCTGTTGTACTGCCAGCCCGACACACTTGGGTTCCTCCTCCAGGACCAACACGAGGGCCTGCTGCCTGGATCTCTGGCCCACCAAGCAAGCTCAGACCCTTTCCCTTGCCTACCTCATACCCAGAACCCAGTCCAGTGGTCAGAACCCACACTGCCTTGGAGGGAGTTGGTGGAAGGTGGCCCGTGCCATTGCAGAGCAGCAGGGATGGGCTTAGGGGGCAGCCCTTCAGCACTGCGCTAGAAGATCTATTACCACCCCACTTCACAAATGAGAACACTGAGACACAGAGAATAACTGTAGGAGGCCCCAGGGAGACTAGAACAAATGACCACACACAGAGGCTAAAAACAACAGGTATCTATCCTCTGCAGGTCTGGAAGCCCAAGATCAAGATGTTACAGGGCCATGCTCCATCTGGAGGCTCCAAAGAGGGTCCTTTCTTCCCCTTCCAGCTGCTGGTGCGTCAAGCATCCGTGGGCTTGTGGCCACATCACCCCATCTCTGCCTCTGTTGTCACATGGCCATCTTCCTGTGTGTGTCTCAAATCTCCCCTTCCTTTTTCTATAAGGACCCCATTGGATTCAGGGCCCACCTCATCCAGATCATCTCATCTAGAGATCATAAAGTGAGGACATCTGCAGAGACCCTATTTCCACATAAGGCCACAGTGATCTGAAGTCCCAGATGGGTGTGAATTACACGGGGACAGGACATTAACAACTTCCCCAAGGTCACCCAGCTACTAAGAGGCACGAGTGAGATCTGACCCTGTCCATACTCTGATCCCTCCACAGCCAGCCTTGAAGGGTGTGACCACCCTGATGTGGGCATGGACCGACCTGCCACACAGCCCCCTCAACAGACCCACCTCCTCCAGTCCCGATGTCCCACTGACAAGACAGGAAGGTCAGGGGCTCACCTCCCAGGCTACCTGGAGCAGGGCATGGCTGTGGGAAAACATGCTTCAGGCTCCCAGAAAGGAGAGCACCTGCCTTCCAAACAGAAGAGACAACAGGTGACACCCAAGCTCCCTGCCCAGGGTATTCACAGTCTCTCCAAGCTAGCCCTCCAAACACACTAATCCATGTGCACACTGCTGTGAGCGATTCTGCAGAAAGAATTTAGGTCCCAGGTCAGCTGGCTCTTAGTTCATCAAAAGGGAGATGACCCTAGGTGGGCCTGAACTAATCAGGGGAGCCCTGAAGGGGAAGAGCTCTTTCTGGCCAAAGATTGGACACAGGGGGATTCTCCACAGCTGGCCTGAAGAGGGAGGGACCATATGGCCAAGGACCAAAAGCGGCCCCCATCTGCCAGCCAGCCAGGAAATAGCCTCACACTCAGACCCGCAAGGGATGGAATTCACCAACAACTTAGATGAGCTTGGAAGAGGACTCCCAGAGGACTCAACCAATGGCATGTGGATTCCAGCCTCTGAGACCCTGAGCTGAAAATCCAGCCACACCATGCTCGGACGTCCCACCTACAGAACTGTGAGCCAATCAATAGGCATTGTTTTAAGCCACTGAGTTTGTAATCATTTGTTGCACAGCAGTAAAAAAACAAAAACTTTAAAAACATCCCTTGCAAATTCTTCCCATCTTGAATGTGCTGGCTGGAGCTGTGAAAGCCATCTTGTGACCATAGGCATTAGAATGAAAACGGTTAAACGCTCAGGATGGCAAAGAATTAGAGACAGACAGAGCCTGAGTCCCTGCGATGTCCCTGTGAGAGACAATTGGATGTGGTCCTCAGGGAGCCACTGCTCTACTTCTCCCCCTTTGGAATCAAGTTGGCCTTCTACTTGGCTTTGCACAACAGGACACAAGGGGGTAACATTCTGGGATGGCTGAAAATAGATATTAGGAAGCCCTATAGTACCACCATTCTCTGAGGGAACCCAGACACTATGTGAAGGAGCCCAGGCTGGCCACATGGAGAAAAAGGCCTGTGGGTGAGATACCACCAGAAGAGAACGGGGTCTCAGAAAGAGAAGTGAGCCCAGCCAACATCACAGAAAGAGAGACCTGTCACCTCCACCAGCCCCACCCTCCGGAGCCATCCTAACTGGGATATCAGATACATGAATAAGGTCAGGCTGGCTCCTTCTGTCCCCAACAAACCACATGAGCAGAGATGAGCCACCCCCACTGAGCCCTGACCCACAGAATCGGACAGTAACCATTGTTCTTCCAGGCCTCTGGGCTTGGGGGATATCTGTTACTCAACACCAAATAACTGGCTGAACAGGCCCTGATGAGGCTGCTGACTGCTGCCCCTGCACACACACTGAAACACATCTCCAGGCCTGTTCCCAGAGTACTCAAACCTTTGATTCGTCAACAGACCTGTGACATCCAGATGGAAGGTGACCCTCTGGCCCCCGGCCTCGCAGATGTACTCCCCGCTGTCCCCCTTCGCCGCCTGCTGCAGCACCAGCCGCCGGGTGCAGCCCGTGGCCTCCACGCGCACTTTCGAGCTCCCGCTCAGCTTCTTGCCATCCTTGTACCACGTCACCTGCGTCTGAGCCTGGGCCACCTCGCAGCTCAGCGTGGCACTGGCCCCGGCCGTGGCCTTCACCTCGCTGTGTGCCGACTGCTCCTTGGCAAACACCACCGTGGGCTCTGGGGACAGGGAGGGATGCACAGGGTCAAAGATATTTTCTAAATCACGAGGACAGCACTGGGGACGGAAGGACTAAGCAGGGACGTGGCAGGACGGGAAAATTCTCAAGGCTCTGTGTGACCCGCAGAAGCCCCAGCACCTTCTCAGCACAAGTAGCTCATTCATCTGCACATGGACCACTGCCCAGGGGCGGTCCCCGCTGGAGACACCGTGAAGCACTTCTCCGGAGCACACACCCTCCAGCAGAGGGACTTCAGGCCATGAGGTGTGCACACACCCTCCCCAGGTGACCAAGTCTTTCCCGGTTGTGCAGGGACCATTCCCAACCAGCGAGGGACAGTTCCTGGGCTCCACCTCCCACCCGCACTCCCTGTGTCACCTGCTGGACACCTAGGGCACTGAGCTGTGCATCCTGAGCCTGTCTCTTTCATGGTTTGGATGACTCACAAAGTGGTGGGCCTTTGCTATGTTTGCGGTCTTTACTGTTTGCTCTTCTGCATGTGTCTGTTCATGGGCATTTTGGACACCATAATATTTCTCCCCACTCCCACCAAGTCTAATAATTTATCTTTTGCGTAGGTCATATTATCGGAATTTCACTTCAGTTTTTTCACACTTTTGTATGTTGCACTTTATTTCCTGCTTCCCTGCTGACAAAAGTGGTGACTGTGAGCCCCGTTGCCTGGTCCCGGATCTCACAGGCACAGCTTTCAAGTGTCACTTAGTGTGATTAGCTGGTTTTCCTTCAGTGTTATTTATCAGAAGAAGGATGAACCGTTTTATTTCTAATTGGCTAAGAATCTGCGGCATGAAGAGATATTGATAAACTATTTCTTCCACATTTCTGACATTAAATGTTATCAAACTCAACTCTGCATTGATGAGGCGATCGCTTCATACTTTAGTTTCAATCTGCTCACGTCATGAGGTATGTTGATTTGCTGTCCTCTGTAGTGCTCACACACCTGGGCCGTGTCTTTCATTATAGTGCATCGTCCTCTTAATACACTGCCGATTCATTTTGATACTACTTAGCTTCAGATTTCGGCCTTGGTCTCCACAATGCATTGGCCCATACTTTGAATTCTCCCTATCAGATGCTGGTCGCCGAAACCGGTTTTGCTCAGTGGATAGAGCGTCGGCCTGCGGGCTGAAAGGTCCCAGGTTCGATTCCGGTCAATGGCATGTACCTGGGTTGCGGGCACATCCCCAGTAGGAGATGTGCAGGAGGCAGCTGATTGATGTTTCTCTCATCAATGTTTCTAACTCTCTATCTCTCTCCCTTCCTCTCTGTAAAAAATCAATAAAATATATTATAAAATAAATAAAATAAAAAAAGATGCTGGTGATAGATGTCATGCTGGTGCCATGTAATAAGCCAGAGACTGTATTTCCATTTCTAGCTCTAGAAGGATCTCCATGAACAAGCAATAATTTCCTTGCAGATTTCCAGTCGGGCCACTGGGGTGTCATCTTCACCTATAAGAGCTTTTTTTTGTGGTTCCATTTATTGAAACGGTTGTAGGACTATTTGAGATGTCAAATCTTATGCCACTTTTCATGAAGTTTTCTAATAATTTGGTCAATTTCTCAAAACTTTTCACATTTACTGCTACTAAATAATTTGTCATATTCTCCTACACTAACAATTAAAAACATTTGCTGGATTCTTTTTGTATCTATACACACTCACGAGCTATTATTGTACACAGATATAATACCAAACTGTTAGCTAGAGGCACCTGGAAGTCGATTTGAGGTTAAAACTCTCCTAGCAAAATGAAAATACAGTTAGTTCACAGACATCTCTGTGAACACCATGGACAGGGACAAATACACATGTGTCCTTAGGAAATACTACGACATAAATACTGACTCAACAGTCAAGGGCTATCGCTATAGTTACTTGTCTTCAACAAGGCATGCAGTGTGGGAGAAGCTCCTGATTCCTCTCCATGTCCCAATCTGGTATACATCAGAGTCCCAGGGGATTCTGACACAGGACTCAAAAAGAAACCGAGATGTACTTTAGGAAGAGAATTTCAGACCTCAAAGGTACAGGTCCCCGCCACACGTGCAGATCTTGTGGTCTCTTTTTAATTTTTGCACAGACCTTGCATGAAAACACGGATCTAGATTTTGGGACAATGAGGATTCAGTAACTTCTACATCCACATGCAAAGGAGTGCCCTACAAAACTACAATTTGCTACCACACTGTTCAGTCTGAGATGGATCCAAGTAAGATTGGGTGGCAGCAACTTCCCCACATTCTGTTGTAATGAAATTCAAATATGTCTGCCCGTGTTGCTGGCTGTGGGCATCTGGGAGCTACCAGGACTTGGGGAGTAGGAAATTCACATAACACAGGTAAGAGAGGTCTGGTCTACCTCAGACTCCACGTGAAAGGTAGAGCCCGAGTCCCGGCTGGAGAGGGGCACCCAGAAGTCTCTGGCAGGTGCTGGGAACTATGACTGAGCAAAACCTGAGCACCACTCAGCTTGTACAGGAAGACCTCTCCCTTCTGCTCACACTCTGCCCACCCAGCCTGGTCTGGCCCCACCACTGGGATGATACGGGAGATGGAGGATAGAAGGCTAAAGAGGTGAGGTCCAGTGGAAAGAGCCCCAGGTGTGTCCGGCTGTAGTCATTACCTACACACAAGGCTAAGTTAGTGCCACCAAAGAACCGACCTGGGACATCTAGGTTGAAGGTGACCTTCTGGCCCCCGGCCTCGCAGGTGTACTCCCCGCTGTCCCCCTTCGCCGCCTGCTGCAGCACCAGCCGCCGGGTGCAGCCCGTGGCCTCCACGCGCACTTTCGAGCTCCCGCTCAGCTTCTTGCCATCCTTGTACCACGTCACCTGCGTCTGAGCCTGGGCCACCTCGCAGCTCAGCGTGGCACTGGCCCCGGCCGTGGCCTTCACCTCGCTGTGTGCCGACTGCTCCTTGGCAAACACCACCGTGGGCTCTGGGGACAGGGAGGGATGCACAGGGTCAAAGAAATTTTCTAAATCACGAGGACAGCACTGGGAAAGGAAGGACTAAGCAGGGACGGGAAAATTCTCAAGGCTCTGTGTGACCCGCAGAAGCCCCAGCACCTTCTCAGCACAAGTAGCTCACTCATCTGCACATGGACCACTGCCCAGGGGCGGTCCCAGCAGGAGACACCGTGAAGGACTTCTCCGGAGCACACACCCTCGAGCAGAGGGACTTCAGGCCATGAGGTGTGCACACACCCTCCCCAGGTGACCAAGTCTTTCCCGGTTGTGCAGGGACCATTCCCACCCAGCGAGGGACAGTTCCTGGGCTCCACCTCCCACCCGCACTCCCTGTGTCACCTGCTGGACACCTAGGGCACTGAGCTGTGCATCCTGAGCCTGTCTCTTTCATGGTTTGGATGACTCACAAAGTGGTGGGCCTTTGCTATGTTTGCGGTCTTTACTGTTTGCTCTTCTGCATGTGTCTGTTCATGGGCATTTTGGACACCATAATATTTCTCCCCACTCCCACCAAGTCTAATAATTTATCTTTTGCGTAGGTCATATTATCAGAATTTCACTTCAGTTTTTTCACACTTTTGTATGTTTCTCTTTATTTCCTGCTTTCCTGCTGACAAAAGTGGTGACTGTGAGCCCCGTTGCCTGGTCCCTGATCTCACAGGCACAGCTTTCAAGTGTCACTTAGTGTGATTAGCTGGTTTTCCTTCAGTGTCATTTATCAGAAGAAGGATGAACGGTTTTATTTCTAATTGGCTAAGAATCTGCGGCATGAAGAGATATTGATAAACTATTTCTTCCACATTTCTGACATTAAATGTTATCAAACTCAACTCTGCATTGATGAGGCGATCGCTTCATACTTTAGTTTCAATCTGCTCACGGCATGAGGTATGTTGATTTGCTGACCTTTGTAGTGCTCACACACCCGGGCCCTGTCTTTCATTATAGTGCATCGTCCTCTTAATACACTGCCGATTCATTTTGATACTACTTAGCTTCAGATTTCGGCCTTGGTCTCCACAATGCATTGGCCAACTATTTCCACTCTCCCTATCAGATGTGGTGATAGATGCCATGCTGTTGCCACATAATAAACCAGAGACTCTGTGTCCTTCTCTAGCTCTAGAAGGATCTCCATGAACATGCAATACTTTCCTTACGGAATAGTTCATATAATTTTCCAGTGGAGCCACTGGGGTGTCATCTTCACCTATAAGATCTTTTTTTTCCTTTTTTTTTTTTTTTTTACTGTGGTTCCATTTATTGAAACGGTTGTAGGACCATTTGAGCTGTCAAAATCGTATGCCACTTTTCATATAGTTTTCTAATAATCTGGTCAATTTCTCAAAACTTTACAGATTTACTCCTACAAAACACCTTGTCATATTCTCCTAACGTAGCAATGACAAATGTTTGGTGGATTTTTTTTTTGTATCTATACACACCCACAAGCTGTTGTACACACTTGTAACACCAAACTGTTAGTTGGAGGCACCTGGATGTCGAATTGAGGTTAAAACTCTCCTCACTAAATGAAAATACAGTTAGTTCACAGACATCTCTGTGAACACCATGGACAGGGACAAATACACATGTGTCCTTAGGAAATACTATGACATAAATACTGACTCAACAGTCAAGGGCTATCACTATAGTTACTTGTCTTCAACAAGGCATGCAGTGCGGGAGAAGCTCCTGATTCCTCTCCATGTCCCAATCTGGTATACATCAGAGTCCCAGGGGATTCTGACACAGGACTCAAAAGAAACCGAGATGTACTTTCGGAGGAGAATTCCAGACCTCACAGGTACAGGACCCCGACACACACGTGCCAATCCTCTGGTCTCTGTGTACTTTTTTGCACAGATCTTGCAAGAAAACACGGATCTAGATTTTGCGACAAGTGAGGATCCAGTAACTTCTCCATCCACATGCAAAGGAGTGCCCTAAGAAACTACAATTTGCTACCACACTGTTCAGTCTGAGATGGATCCAAGTAAGATTGGGTGGCAGCAACTTCCCCACATTCTGTTGTAATGAAATTCAAATATGTCTGCCCGTGTTGCTGGCTGTGGGCATCTGGGAGCTACCAGGACTTGGGGAGTAGGAAATTCACATAACACAGGTAAGAGAGGTCTGGTCTACCTCAGACTCCACGTGAAAGGTAGAGCCCGAGTTCCGGCTGGAGAGGGGCACCCAGAAGTCTCTGGCAGGTGCTGGGAACTATGACTGAGCAAAACCTGAGCACCACTCAGCTTGTACAGGAAGACCTCTCCCTCTGCTCACACTCTGCCCACCCAGCCTGGTCTGGCCCCACCACTGGGATGATACGGGAGATGGAGGATAGAAGGCTAAAGAGGTGAGGTCCAGTGGAAAGAGCCCCAGGTGTGTCCGGCTGTAGTCATTACCTACACACAAGGCTAAGTTAGTGCCACCAAAGAACCGACCTGGGACATCTAGGTTGAAGGTGACCTTCTGGCCCCCGGCCTCGCAGGTGTACTCCCCGCTGTCCCCCTTCGCCGCCTGCTGCAGCACCAGCCGCCGGGTGCAGCCCGTGGCCTCCACGCGCACTTTCGAGCTCCCGCTCAGCTTCTTGCCATCCTTGTACCACGTCACCTGCGTCTGAGCCTGGGCCACCTCGCAGCTCAGCGTGGCACTGGCCCCGGCCGTGGCCTTCACCTCGCTGTGTGCCGACTGCTCCTTGGCAAACACCACCGTGGGCTCTGGGGACAGGGAGGGATGCACAGGGTCAAAGATATTTTCTAAATCACGAGGACAGCACTGGGAAAGGAAGGACTAAGCAGGGACGTGAAAATTCTCAAGGCTCTGTGTGACCCGCAGAAGCCCCAGCACCTTCTCAGCACAACTGGCTCACTCATCTGCACATGGACCACTGCCCAGGGGCGGTCCCCGCTGGAGACACCGTGAAGGACTTCTCCGGAGCACACACCCTCCAGCAGAGGGACTTCAGGCCACGAGGTGTGCACACACCCTCCCCAGGTGACCACGTCTTTCCCGGTTGTGCAGGGACCATTCCCACCCAGCGAGGGACAGTTCCTGGGCTCCACCTCCCACCCGCACTCCCTGTGTCACCTGCTGGCCACCTAGGGCACTGAGCTGTGCCTCCTGAGCCTGTCTCTTCCATGGTTTGGGTGACTCACAAAGTGGTGGGCCTTTGCTATGTTTTCGGTCTTTACTGTTTGCTCTTCTGCGGTGTGTCTGTTCATGGGCATTTTGGACACCATAATATTTCTCCCCACTCCCACCAAGTCTAATAATTTATCTTTTGCGTAAGTCATATTATCGGAATTTCACTTCAGTTTTTTCACACTTTTGTATGTCGCACTTTATTTCCTGCTTTCCTGCTGACAACAGTGGTGACTGTGAGCCCCGTTGCCTGGTCCCTGATCTCACAGGCACAGCTTTCAAGTGTCACTTAGTGTGATTAGCTGGTTTTCCTTCAGTTCATTTATCAGAAGAAGGATGACCCCTTTTATTTCTAATTGGTTAAGAATTTGAGGCATGAAGAGATATTGATAAACGATTTCTTCCACATTTCTGACTTTAAATGTTATCAAACTCAACTCTGCATTGATGAGGCGATCGCTTCATACTTTAGTTTCAATCTGCTCACGTCATGAGGTATGTTGATTTGCTGTCCTCTGTAGTGCTCACACACCCGGGCCGTGTCTTTCATTATAGTGCATCGTCCTCTTAATACACTGCCGATTCATTTTGATACTACTTAGCTTCAGATTTCGGCCTTGGTCTCCACAGTGCATTGGCCCATACTTTGAATTCTCCCTATCAGATGCTGGTCGCCGAAACCGGTTTTGCTCAGTGAATAGAGCGTCGGCCTGCGGACTGAAAGGTCCCAGGTTCGATTCCGGTCAATGGCATGTACCTGGGTTGCGGGCACATCCCCAGTAGGAGATGTGCAGGAGGCAGCTGATTGATGTTTCTCTCATCAATGTTTCTAACTCTCTATCTCTCTCCCTTCCTCTCTGTAAAAAATCAATAAAATATATTATAAAATAAATAAAATAAAAAAAGATGCTGGTGATAGATGTCATGCTGGTGCCATGTAATAAGCCAGAGACTGTATTTCCATTTCTAGCTCTAGAAGGATCTCCATGAACAAGCAATAATTTCCTTGCAGAATAGTTCATACAAATTTCCAGTCGGGCCACTGGGGTGTCATCTTCACCTATAAGAGCTTTTTTTTGTGGTTCCATTTATTGAAACGGTTGTAGGACTATTTGAGATGTCAAATCTTATGCCACTTTTCATGAAGTTTTCTAATAATTTGGTCAATTTCTCAAAACTTTTCACATTTACTGCTACTAAATAATTTGTCATATTCTCCTACACTAACAATTAAAAACATTTGCTGGATTCTTTTTGTATCTATACACACTCACGAGCTATTATTGTACACAGATATAATACCAAACTGTTAGCTAGAGGCACCTGGAAGTCGATTTGAGGTTAAAACTCTCCTAGCAAAATGAAAATACAGTTAGTTCACAGACATCTCTGTGAACACCATGGACAGGGACAAATACACATGTGTCCTTAGGAAATACTACGACATAAATACTGACTCAACAGTCAAGGGCTATCGCTATAGTTACTTGTCTTCAACAAGGCATGCAGTGTGGGAGAAGCTCCTGATTCCTCTCCATGTCCCAATCTGGTATACATCAGAGTCCCAGGGGATTCTGACACAGGACTCAAAAAGAAACCGAGATGTACTTTAGGAAGAGAATTTCAGACCTCAAAGGTACAGGTCCCCGCCACACGTGCAGATCTTGTGGTCTCTTTTTAATTTTTGCACAGACCTTGCATGAAAACACGGATCTAGATTTTGGGACAATGAGGATTCAGTAACTTCTACATCCACATGCAAAGGAGTGCCCTACAAAACTACAATTTGCTACCACACTGTTCAGTCTGAGATGGATCCAAGTAAGATTGGGTGGCAGCAACTTCCCCACATTCTGTTGTAATGAAATTCAAATATGTCTGCCCGTGTTGCTGGCTGTGGGCATCTGGGAGCTACCAGGAATTGGGGAGTAGGAAATTCACATAACACAGGTAAGAGACGTCTGGTCTACCTCAGACTCCACGTGAAAGGTAGAGCCCGAGTCCCGGCTGGAGAGGGGCACCCAGAAGTCTCTGGCAGGTGCTGGGAACTATGACTGAGCAAAACCTGAGCACCACTCAGCTTGTACAGGAAGACCTCTCCCTTCTGCTCACACTCTGCCCACCCAGCCTGGTCTGGCCCCACCACTGGGATGATATGGGAGATGGAGGACAGAAGGCTAAAGAGGTGAGGTCCAGTCAAAGAGCCCCAGGTGTGTCCGGCTGTAGACATTACCTACACACAAGGCTAAGTTAATGCCACCAAAGAACATACCTGGGACATCTAGGTGGAAGGTGACCTTCTGGCCCCCGGCCTCGCAGATGTACTCCCCGCTGTCCCCCTTCGCCGCCTGCTGCAGCACCAGCCGCCGGGTGCAGCCCGTGGCCTCCACGCGCACTTTCGAGCTCCCGCTCAGCTTCTTGCCATCCTTGTACCACGTCACCTGAGTCTGAGCCTGGGCCACCTCGCAGCTCAGCGTGGCACTGGCCCCGGCCGTGGCCTTCACCTCGCTGTGTGCCGACTGCTCCTTGGCAAACACCACCGTGGGCTCTGGGGACAGGGAGGGATGCACAGTCAGAGGCCCCACAGAGGTGAGCCCTGAAGCCACAACGAGGCTCAGACACAGGCAACCACAGGTCCCCATGAGGATCTTTTGTGATCGGGTACTACAGCACAGCCCTCCCAGGCACAGGGGGCCTGACTGTTGCCTCAGTACAGAGGGAGGCATAGGGGGCTGGCAGAGCTTCTCCTGGGGGCAAGGAGGGTGCAGCAGGACTCAGAGAATGCACCAAGTGGCCTCAGGGGCTTCTAGAAGTAGCCAGGACCTCACAATCACTGAGATCCAAATCTATCCCGCTGAGGATGCTGCCAGCACCTTCTGGGTCCTCTCAGCCTCCTTTGATCTTTAAAAGGAAAACGAATACTTCACAGTTCCTTCTTATTTTGCATTGTTCATCCATCTCAGTGTTAATTTTGTGGGTAATTTCTTTTCCCAAATCGAAGCAGCTGTCCCACCCCAGGCATTCACATAAGCAATGAAGAGCCTGGCAGCTCTACCTTGCAAGTCCCAGATGCAGCCAGACCTTCTCCCCACCCACCAAGCCCTAGCGTTGCCCACTCACCACAGACACGCAGCTGGAAATCCACCGAGTGCTCGCCCACGCGGCATGAATAGGTGCCCTCGTCTTGCCCTGGTGACTGAGTTGGCCACCAGTCGATGCCGTGTGCCCACATCCTCCTGTGAGAAGTGCGGAGGAGTGGGCCGAGCTCGAGCCATCCTTGAACCATCTCACTGTCACATTGGGCCTCCGCAGGTCTCGCATTCAAGTGGGCCCGGACCCCCGGCAAACGTGTTCCACGCAGCACCTGCGATTCTTTTGGGCAGAAGGGTGTTATCTGCGATGGCCACTGGGGTAGGAGGTAAGCCTATGAGACACACTAGCAATGGATGTCCAGTTGAAACCTTGGCTCAGCCAGCCAGGCCCC